CTACCACAAGAGGGCGAACTGACACTATGGAATGTACTTAGTTCAGCGACGCTGTAAGTTAAGAGTAATGTGTCAGCGTCGTCTCTTAAAAAGAGACAAAAACATTGGTGATTTTTGACGTTTTCCCTGCTTGTATGGTTAAATCTTCATATTTAGACTAGCCCTTTTAAAATAAAAAAGGGCCCTTGAATTTATCTTGAAATGCTGCCCTAGTCTTCAACAGCTAAATTCGTAAGTTTAAACTGTTTAATACTTGAAAATGGCGGGGGAAAGTAGAAGAAACTGAGGGACTGGTGTTATGTCTGGTTTCTGAATAGGCTGCAGCCTAACAGGTGTTTTGCTTGTGCTGAGGAATGAAATGGCGTTGGCCTCCCTGCTGGCAGTGCTCTAGTACTGAGCTCCTGCACTCCAGCTCTCCATTGCATGACTGCAGTCTGTGGTTTGGGAAAACGGGATCATCCCGAGACACAATTGTTAGGGGCCGGCATGCTGTGAGATCAAACAGGTTGTGTTACAAATATGTGCTGTATGTTCTGTGCATAATTGGCATTCCAAAAATGAACATTTGCTGAATAAATATAGCCCAGTGTTTATATACATAGTCCTCTGGCCATGCTTTAGTAATCTAAACATTTATCAGAGCGACTAGAAATAAAAAAAAAAAATGCGGCTAGCGCAGGAATTTGATGCTGTTGTCTGAGGGGCTGAGGAGAAAATGGGAAATCGTAGTCCAGGTGTGGTCCGTTCGCACACAGAGGCCTCCGGGCCAGGCTCCTGTGAAATGGGGAGCTGCTCTTCTCAGGGCTGGGAGCTGGATGAAGACCCGGTTCCCAGCATCTCGCAGAACAAAAATCAGAGTGAAAACCCGAGTTTCCACCTCCCTCCCTCCCTTTTTTTTGTGCGGGATTAAATCTGAGCTTGCTTCATACCGGGGCGGTTCAGCGCCGGGTTACTTTATAAAATGAATCTGGGACTGTAATTATCTCAAATGGGAATCCTGATGGGACACGCGGCAGACGCCATTGGGTTCTGGATTTCTGGTGGAGATGGCGGCTGCACCTTGTGCTTCCCGCCCCAGTTCTGGAACACGGTACGCCCTTTGGAAACATTTCGTAGTATCAAAACATTTTGTTTTGGGGGGCGGAAAGAGCACAACAGATTTGGATGAAAATGACGGAAACCCGCTCGATTGGTTTTCCCCAGGTACACCTTACTCACGCTGCTCTTGGAGGAGCGCCTGGGAACGTGCCTTCTAGGGTTTTGCCAGATGCTGCTTATAAAAAAAAACACACACAGGGAAGGAAAACAAAACAATTGCTCGGCAGTGTAAATCCCCACACATGTCGGCTGTAGTACTTTGCTCAGCCGAAGGGAGTTGTTTTACTAGCGGGATCAGAGCAGCCTGAGGCTTTCGGAGTGCAGTGAGAGTGTCTAGCGGAGGTGAACGCTGAGCCTGGCGTCTGTCTGCTTCTCAGGGCCAGTGAGCTCTCTGAGGTCTCCAGTCTTCAGTCTGCGTCCCGGCATTTGTTTCTGCTTACTGGGGTGAAATCTTATCCCTTGAGTCCAGTTTTCCCCCACGGCCTTTTTTGGGATCGTTATTTTTTTCCCCCCCCCAATATTTCGGGGCACGGGTGTTGTTATCGAAATGCAGACTGAGGCCAAAGCCTCGTCATTCACCTTAGTGTGCTGTGCGATTCGTTCATAAACCCCAGTGAGATTATACTGCACTGCAAGGTGTTAATGCACTGTCCTGAATGGATAGAAAACCTCTTCATGTTTTCAATGCAGACTGGCATAATATTCAGCTGATGTGATTTTTCTGATGGATTATTCAGCAACGTTATTGCTTTGTGTACTTTGTGCAGCATGTATTGTTGAAAAGTCTTGTGGCAAATATCAGAAAAGGATTAACAGTAACGCTGCCCACATGCAGTCTTAAGATTATGGTTAAATAATGTTGAAGTACTGATTACATACTGTAGCATGTAAAATAAGTCAACTTCCGTGGTTGAAATGCTAATTATCTCCTTTAGTAAGCAGTGACTATCATGTTATAGAATGATCATGTTTGCTAGTTGAAAACCATGATTTCAGAATGTGACCAGGTTTGAGATGAAACATCAGAGGTGATGAAATGGCCAACTGAATGACTTTTTAACAGATGCTACCCCGAACACCTCACTGGAGGCTAGTTTACAAAACCTTGAAGATACCTTATCTTAAAGAATATGACTACAGTAGTGTTTCCACACAGCACGGTTAAATTTGACAGTTTAACAGTAAGCCTTATTTAACACCTCTCCCATTTGGTGGATGCTGGTAACAGTGTTTTTTTCTGTAATGGAATCGGTGAGTCTGTACGACATAGCCCGCATCTGAATCACTTGTCAGTGTAAATGTTTAGATTCCCTCTTGGCCCTTTGAGACACCCCCTGTTTGAAGAGCTAAGTGCTGTTCAACCCCCATGCGATGGCTGGGTGAGTCGTCAGGAGGTGGGGGACACGGCAGCACTTGAGCCCGTCTGATCTGCAGGCTGCCTTCTCTGGAGCCACTCTTCTGCTTCGTGATCGTGAGAAGCCCTCAGATCTGTGATGCAAGTTCAAAGAGCCACGATTTCACCTTCGTCTCTGTGCACAGACGGGACGGGTGGGGGGCAGGGGGGTGTTGGGTAATGAGAGCCGCCACACAGGGTTCTAGGGGCTGCTGTGATTGATTAATGCCTGTGTGTTCGACCCTGAATCAGAAGTTGTTGAATCTTATTAGCACCCTCACTGACCCCCTGTCTCGGTTCATTAGCACAGGTTAGGTTGTGTTTACTTTTGGAGTTAATCAAATCAGGCCCCAGCTGAGGTATGGATAGGCTCTTTGGGTTTGGGTGCAGCTGATCTTGCCTCATCCTTCTCTTTCCGTTTCGCAGCCTGTGATCGAGTGATGTTATTTTCCCAATTAAAAGGACGGTATTATTCTCTGCCTTGTATCTCAGGCATAAATGGCACTATTTGGTGGCAGATCACCATGTGGGTGGTTTTTGAATTGAGGAAGTCGGGTGCAATTCTGATGTGCAAACGTTCCTATCAGGGACGGAGGAACAATTTCTGTTAGCCAAGTTAATTTTGATGATTTACTGATTAGGAGAGAATTAAGTATTTACATTACACTGTATGCAGGAACCTAAGAGAAGCCATGTGCTGCTTTTTCCAATGCAGTGAATATTGTGATGTTATGAAACTCTCTGCTCCTGCTGCCTACCGAATTCGTCCTAACCAAGGACCAGAGTCTTCTCTCTGGAATGTTTTATATCCCAGATCCATCACTATCGCACTAATCCAGGACCTTCAATTAGCCGGGAAATTTGTCTCGGTGTCTTTTCAGGTTGCTTCCCCCTTTTTTTTCCCCAAAAGCTGAAAAACAAAAAGTAGAGCGGTCAATTAGAATTTTCTAAGTCTGCCCAAGCTGTCTGCTTCAGTATCGCTCTTGTCTGAAGCTGAGCTTCAGCGAAGGATTGTAACCACTTGGAATGTCATTTACAACTGGGCCGTCAATGTCTATGCTGTATACATGTTTCTTTTGTGGAAAGTTACACAAGTTATAACACGTGAGGGACTCCAGTTGGTGTGTACAAGCCAAAAGCCAGGAACATGAGGAAAGTTACAGCCGAGAGAAGGCCATGTGGCCTATTTAACCCATTTAGTCGTTAGCAGCTAATTGATCCAGAGGTCTCGGGCAGCTGTGTCTTGAAAGAAGCCAGGTCCATGCCATTAGCTTCAACAACATGGCTGAGTAGTATGAACTGGGAGAACACGAGCATCTGCTTGAGAGAAATACAGAATCACGCATTAAAACGTAATTGTAATCGACTGGTTCTTAGCACCTCGTCAGAGCTGGCTGCTTGCCTTTGGGCTGCCTAATGCCTGCTTTGGAGAGCTATTT